CTGTAAACCGCTTAGAGAGGGCTGAAAGCCCTATGAAGCGGTATATAAGTCTAACTGCTATTGTTTTGTATTGGTCTGCACAATAAACTGAATTGAAAACGGAAGGATTGAATTACTTGAAGTATAAATTTGAAAACCACTCATTCATGCTGTTTTATGTCCAGAGTAGCAAAACTAAATGTCTAATCTACTAAATTACATTACAACTTCAGTCAGAGATCAACATTTGAACACAGACAATATGCAAAAAAAGGGTGTTTTCCCAACTGTAAGAATTGTCATTGCAAGGACCAGATAACAGCCTATAAAATCAACCATTATATTTTCAACAGTAATCAGCCCTCCTTCCCTTTTAGAAAATTAATGAGCAGGGCAGCAGCAAATGTATCAGCTTCTCATTTCATTTCCATCTTCATAATTTAAATATTTCACTAGATTGCATTAACTGATGAAAAAAAAATCAGTTGAAAACTATCCTAAGCTTTACTTTTACTTTTATTTCAGAGCTTGATGCCCTGGATTCCAATGATGAACTGACCCCCCTTGGGAGAATTTTAGCAAGGCTCCCCATTGAACCTCGACTTGGCAAAATGATGATAATGGGGTGCATATTTTAGTAAGTGATCATAACTTCAAAAGTAACTGGAGGGAAAAGGAGGGGGACTCAGGACGAAGAGAATTGCTTTTTTTAAATTGAGGCAAGTTTACCCAGGAGCAATAAAGTGAATCCCACCAGCAGTCTTTGCCTCATTTGTTCCTTCTACTCGATAATGCCGTTTGCTATATTGCAGTGTAGCCCAGCTAATTCTGTGCTTTTTCTTTCAGTGTTGGTGATGCTGTGTGTACTATCTCTGCTGCGACCTGCTTCCCTGAGCCGTTCATCAGTGAGGGTAAAAGGCTGGGTTATGTCCATAGGAATTTTGCTGGGAACAGGTTCTCCGATCATGTGGCCCTGCTCTCAGTCTTCCAAGCCTGGGATAATGCAAGGTAATTTGATTTAGGGCAATGCACAAGACACCTTACTTAAAAAAACCCAAACTCAACATGTTACATTTACACGGAGCGGCTTGACTGGTTTTTACCCGTTTTCTTGCAGAATGGGTGGAGAAAATGCTGAAATTCGTTTCTGTGAGTTTAAGAGACTCAATATGGCAACACTCAGAATGACCTGGGAAGCCAAAGTACAGCTGAAAGAAATTCTGGTTAACTCTGGATTCCCAGAAGGTAAAAATAAAATAAAAACTTTGTATGAATGTAAAGGATGTCACTGTTTACAAACCATTAGTTTTGCAACCGTTCAGAGATATGAAAAAATAACTTGATGGCCCATTTACGATCATTACAGATCTTTACAGGGTCCCTCAATCACGTGATCACTATTACACTGAGTATGTATTGTCCCGTGCTTTGGGGCTTTTTTCTTCTTTCCTCACTTGCAAAATAGAAAGTGTGGAATGTGATTTCAGGAAAGTAAACTGATTGCTCTTCTACACATCAAAAGCAATGCAGTCATGCTAGCAACTGAAGGCTAGGAGCCAGAGGCACACTAGGCAAATACATGACTTTCTCTCCAATCTCTGCTCTGCAAGGGTGATAGGGAGAAAAAAAGGCAAGCGATTTCTGTAGACAGTCTTCTTTGCCTAATCCTTCCACAAATGTGCCCCCCCCCCCTTCAGAGAGATTAGAGAGGAAGAAATTGCAAGAGAGTAAGATGTTTGCTGTTCTATACAATTGAGTCAGCAGTAAAGGTCAGGCAAAAGAGGGAATGACTATAGAAATTGTTTACTTTTTTTCTTCCTCTTCTCCCANTGAATCAGTAATTTGGTATTTTTCAACCACTCTGCTCACTGTGGTGCGATGGCATTTCACTCTCTTGGCTATTTCTGTACAGGAGTAACTTTTCATGAAGTATAATGATGTGATGCCACTGCTCAGTACTGGTGAAAACAAAGGCCTTCATCCTCGCCCGCAGCCAGAGTTAAATTAAATTTCTCGATGCTTTTCATACCTATTTATAGTCAGAGAGTATGACAACATCGATTGGCTCATAGATTTAGCCTCTGTGCATTTTGATTGGTTAGCCAAAGCTCACTACTATTGGCTACTTTCGAGCCTAACATTCTCAAAAATTCAAGTTGTTTGTTTTAGCACATAAACTCACTCAAAACCTTAAAAAGACTTTGATTATATTAATAAAAAGTATGCATCTCAATCCAACTACAGAAATTTTCATCGAAGTACTAATTTTGCGTGGTTTCTATGAGTGAAAAGTTGATTAAACATGTAAATAGGGCTTAAAACTGAAAGCGTGCAGGACTTTTTCACACAGCTGTACATACTGTAATCCCTAATGAGTTTTATGTTGCAAATTAAACCACCAAACCCACCCCCAAATGTCTTAACTGCTGTCAAGTGTGTTATAACTTCTTTGTTTATTGCCCCATACTCTTTTCTCCACAAAAAAAATAATTCCCCCCCATGGTCATCTGATCACAGTTGTGGCACTTGGAAACGAGCTCACACTTTTGATCAGTTGCAGCATCTTGCAGTTATATCAGGGGGTCAAACTCACGTGCCGTGGGCCGGATGTATCACATGCAGGCCACCCCTACCCCAGCTCCGTGGAGGGGAAATACATCTTGAAACGTCCTGTGATGTGGGGAGTTTGACACCCGTGGGTTATATGATGATGATTTGCAAAACATGGCCACTGGGGAAGCTGGATTCACTTAACAAGAATGGATTTATTTAATGACTGCATTAAAAATTGTTGTAAAATCCAACTTGACTTATAATTGGAGTGATTTATGACAGAAATTTCTGTCTCAATGTTTGCAAGTTAAGGAGTACCCATAATCTTTAAATATTTAGACCGAAAATGTTCTCAATTAGTATACATCCCCTATTCTTAGGGACCACAATCAAGAGCAAATCTATAATAAGGGTTTCTTTAAAGCATCTGCTGCTTCTACTGCATCAAGAGCCAATTGTATGTCTTTCACCTTGCTTAACAGGAGTGGGTGAAATATAATGGCTAACCATCTTTTTAATAATTAATTTCCAAGATCTCCAAGATAAGAAAATCTTAGAAAATGATATAAAATGAAATTTCCCTTTGCTGGGGTGTTGGTAAATCTTTCCTATAAGCTCTAACTGCTCTGCCCAAAAGTATGAATTCAATCACCATTCAATTAATTTTACTGCCTATTGTCCAAATCTATTTAATGGCAATATGGTTGATAAATGACTTGTTTTTAAAAAGGAAAGGGATAAAAAAAATATGTTGCAGCCTAGAGCTGTGATGGAGAACCTATGGCATGTGTGCCCGAAGTGGCGAGCGGAGCCATGTCACCTGGCACACGTGGCGTTGCCCGTCCCTCTTCCAGGTTTCTGATTGGCGCATGCGTGTGTGACAATCAGCTGGCCTTCGTGGGCGTGGAAGTGCCAGAAACTGGAAGAACTGGTCTTCCATTTTCCAGGGTGAGCGTGCGTGCTGGACAGCTGATCGTCCCACGCACATGCGCCCCAGTAACTGGAAGACTAGCTGGAAACCAGAAGTTCATTTTCCAATGTGTGCATGCCTTCCTGGCATCTCCTCTTTTGGGTTGTGTCCCAGGTGAGCACAAGGTTTCGCCATCATTGGCCTAGAGCAGTGTTTCTCAACCTTGGCAACTTGAAGATGTCCGGACTTCAACTCCCATAATTCCCCAGCCAGCATTCGCGAATGCTGGCTGGGGAATTCTGGGAGTTGAAGTCCGGACATCTTCAAGTTGCCAAGGTTGAGAAACACTGGCCTAGAGGAAAAGGAACCTGAAGATGCAGGAAAACTAGGAGGGGAAATTCATAGTTTTTGCTGCCATCTAGTGATGAGTAAAATATTTAATAATTAAGGATCAAGTGACTAGCTTATTGCATTAGAAAACTGGAGGTCAGTCAACAATCAATATTTACATTACATCTAAAAAAGAGGTATCAATTAAGACTGCCTTTGGAACCTGTCTTGAACCTTANTTTTTAAGTCTGATTTTTGAGCCAGCCTTGTATCTACAAGGGATGATATCCTAGTCTGTAAACAGTCCTTATTGCAGCTTTACAAATTAGGACTATTTCGAAGGATGTAGTTTCTCTTATTTTTTTAAATTTAATATAATGCTCAAGTTTTAAAAGAAAACTTCTATTTGTCCTGGTATGTAATATTGCTAATTATAATGATGTAAAAATAAAATTGATAAGCATAGTAGATTCGATGATGAATTGTTTTTAATTTTTTCCTAAAGCCAGTCTACCTTCATCTTTGAAAGATTACGTTCCTAAGTAACAAGATATATGAATATAATGGAAGGGTACAAATAGAATTCAATCCTTTGATTTATTAAATTGCTGATACAGGAAGTTATTAGATAAAAAAATAAGTTTAAATGCATTCATACTACTTTTCAGTTTTCTCTTTACCTATGAAATGCTTATAAAAGCCACTGTTTTAACAGTATTTATTATACAGCAATGTTTTTAATAATATAAACTTTTCTCTTGTGCCATAAGACATGGCTAAACCATGATATCCTGCAGCTTCAGTTAACTAGGCTGATGCCTTTAATGTCTTCCAGTGTATTTGCATTTATCTGAAGAGTCAGTTCCTGCATTAGTTTAGAAACAGAATCTTCTCCGTCTCCTGCTGCAGCACATTCCATGGTTTCGTCTGCTGTAGTGCCCAGCTGTTCAGAAGGCTTCATAATTGTCACTCCGTAACCATTGTTACTATAAATATGGTTATTTTTCATTTTTAGTTTAGGAGCAGGGAGGACCTGTTAAAGAATTAACATGTTAATAATTTCAATCTTTCTCTATTTAGTTATCTATTTAAACATGGACATCATTTCAAATTTTCCAGTCTCTGTCAGTGATATCTGATGCGGAATGCAACTGAATTCATAAGCTGGGCTTAGGGGAGGCTATTAGTTTAGTATGTAGTTCGAGTCCAGTCAATTACAAAAAGTAGACCATCACATATGGTTTAGAACAGAAGTGATTTAACTCACAGCTCAAGTGTGGCCTGCAAAACTACCTTACAACTCTTACGCCTTTCCAAGTAGGCAAGCTCAATTATTTTACTTTTGTTTTAAATTCTTTGACAAAATAACTAAATTAGTGGACCAGGAAAATGCTGAAGACATAATTTACTTGGATTGCAGTAAGACTTTGATAACATAGTCCATAACCTACTACTTGGCAAGATAGATAAGTGTTGTGGCCCAGCAGGAGCCATTGGAGCTGCCTCCAGACTCCGACAGCGAGGGGCCCTATGAGTCGGCTCTGGAGGACCCTCAACAGGGTTCCGACTCCAAGCAGGGTGCAGAGGCTGGTTGGCCCCAGGAGGCACCTGAGCCTTGGACCAGTGGGGAGGAGACAAGGGAGAGTAAGCCGAACACCAGTAGTGAGTTGTTCCTGGATGCCCAGCATCAAAGAGCTACTAGGCGTCAGGAACAATTACGCAATTATAGGAGGTGATTGCACTCAGCTGGTGGTCATTAGGCTCCTCTCCAGACTATAAAGACTACTTGTGCACACGACCCTCTTCGCAGAAGTCAACACAGGATCGAATGTCGGAGAACTTTGTATGAGCTTGGCAGGATGGATTGCTGCCAAGCCTTATCTGTGTTTATTACTGCCCAAACCTGTCTGTGTCGGGTTGCTGCCAAGGACCTGTTTGTCTGTTAATTAAATGCCGTAATTTATCTCTGGCTCGGAGTGTGCTTTGGTGTGGAACGAGGGAGGTCAGAACAGATAAGTATGGGTTAGACAGCATCACCACCAGAGGGATT